TTTTTAAATCATAAATGTTCTGATTGGTTATTTCTTATCTAGTCTAATATAACAGTCAACGTCAAAGAGTCTGAAATTCTTATTTCTTTACAAACTTCTCTGATGTAAGAACTTCTTAGAATTTACTGAATTTCCCTTCAGAGATAAAATGAAGTTATTCTTATTCTTCATACTATCAAGTTTTGTGTAATGTGATATAATTGTTTTATTCCTGGCGGATCCTTCTTTTAATCGGCTACAGAAAACAAAGCTGCTTTTAGGTTTAATTTGACTTTTCACAATCATTTTCTTTAAAGGCTGAATATCCCTAGTTCAAACAGAGACAAACATAAATTTGGCAATCTTTAGTTGGACTGGGAAAATGTTGTGATTTTCTGCTCTATGCCTAAAACCCAGGAAGGTCATACTTCATACTACACCAGAAAAAAATAAAATTTAAAAATTAAAAAAAAACATCAGCAGTATTCTGTGATGATGGTTAGGCACACAACTGTACTTATATGACACACACATAAAAACCTGTTTTACAAACTAACATATAATTTCTTTTTGCTATTTCCACTCCCTCAATATTTCAACCTACTAACTGACCTGCACTCTGTTCTACAATCCCAGCAATATAGGAACTGGTCCATTCATGATCAGTCCTTAAGCAATTATTTACAGTGTTTCGGAATGCATTGAACTACCTTTTTGAGTTCCAATAAGAATAAGAATAACTTTAGTAATCGCCGACGGGAAACTCAATTATCTGTTGTCTCACTTGACATGTCTCTAAAAGTTATCTACTATTTATACAAGAGTTAAAAAGTCTGATAAGAAGATATGTTGAGATAAGATGAACCTTTATTAATCCCCAAAGGGGAATTCAGCTGTCTGTTGTCTCACATAATATGTCTCTAAAAGTTATCTATTATTTACACAAGAATTATAAAGCCTGATGGCTGTTGGTACAAAAGACCTTCTGAATCTTTCTGTCCTGCAGCGAAGAGAAAGGTGAGTCATCCAACACCATTGGCCTTTTGGTCCATTAAGACGTTATAAAGTGGGTGATACATCTTGAGAAAAGTCTCCACCTTCCTCAGTGTAGATCTTTCCACCACGTCCTCTACTGAGTCCAGCTTCAGTCCAACCACAGAGCCAGCCTTTTTCACCAGTTTGTTAAGACATCTTGCATCTTTGTGTTTGATGCTTCCTCCCCAGCAGACTGCAGCATAGAACAGAACACTTGCCACCACAGACTGATAAAACATCTGCAGCATCTCACTACAAATGTCTATTGATTGGTGTCTCCTCAGGCAAAAGTGCGGCTCTGCCCCTTTCTGTAGATGAAGTCTATATTCTTAGACCAGTCCAAATTATTATCCAGATGTACACCTAGGTATTTATATGATGTCACCACTTCGATGTCCACTCCACAGGTGTTTACTGGCTGAAGAGGGGGTTTGGATCTGCGGAAGTCTATGACCATCTCCTTTGTCATTGAGGTGTTGAGGAGGAGGCGGTTTTTGTGACTCCAGTCACTGAAGGCTCTTATGAGTTCTCTGTATTCAGCTTCTTGTCCATCTCTGATACATGCCACAATAGTGGTATCATCTGAGTATTTCTGGATGTGGCAGGACTCAGTGCTGTATTTGAGGTCTGACATATACAGTGTAATCAGGAATGGCACCAGCACTGTCCCTTGTGGAGCCCTTGTACTGCTCATTAATGTCCCAGAAACACTGTTTCCCAGCCTGACAAACTGTGGCCTTTGTGTCCCGGTAATCTGTGATCCAGAAAACGCAGAAAGGATCCACTCCCATCTCTGTGAGCTTGTCTTTGAGTATGGTGGGTTGGACAGTGTTGAATGCACTTAAAAGGTCGAAGAACATGATCCTCACATAAACCCAAGGTTCCTCCAGACCAGACAGGGCACAGTGAAGCATGTAGAGGACAGCATCATCCACTCCAGCTGTAGACTCAGATTGAAGATCTTGTGGAGCTGTCGACACAGTTCTGCAGCACAGTCTCTAAGCAGCCTTGAACACACACCATCTTGACCAGCTGCCTTCCCAGGACAATATCTTCCAAGCTCCAACCTCATCCCTGTTTCGGTGACAGACAAGGACTGTTGTTCTAGGAGGGAGGCAGTTGAAGTAGTTGAGACAGTTGAACACGATAGATGGAGGAGGGGAAGAAGTTGCAGTGGAGATTTGTTGTGAAGAGGAAGCTGGAATAGCAGTGGAAGTGGTTGTGACAGCAGTGTCGACTCTATTGAAGAACAGGTTGAGCTCATCAGCTCTTTCCAGATCACCCACCACTGGCTATCTTTTCTTTTTATTTCTGTGTCCAGAGATGGTACTGATTCCTCTCTACACTTCACAGATGTTGCTGTGTTGTTGATTCTTCTCTACATTCTTTTTGTTCTCCAGCTTTGCCATATTCAGTCTCCTCTTTAACTCTTGTTGCACTTGTTTGAGTCATTCTTTGTCGCCATCTTCAAAAGCTTTCTTTTTCTGGTAAAGGATTGCTTTCATGTCACTTGTGATCCAGGGTTTTTTGTTGGGGAAACAGCGAACAGTCTTTGTGGGTATAACTGTCTCTACAGAAGTTGTTATATTCAGTAAAGCAGTCAACTTTTTGTCAAAGCTCATACTATCCACATCTGTTTCCAGCAGCACATTCCAGTCTGTTGGTTTAAAACGGCCCCTTAGAGCTTCACTGGCTTGAGGTGTCCATCTTCTGATTTTGACTTTGGTCGCAGGCTGCCTCAGTACACAAGGTAGTTAACAATACTGATACTTGAGATATGGTATCGGCCAATACTGATACTGAACTGATGCAAGCATTGAATTGACCTTTTATTCAAAGGTGAGACTAGAAATTATGTTCTGGCAACATCAAGCTTTTCCAATTTTATATCCCAGAATGATACAAATAAACCTATTCTAATTGACTGTGCCATAGTTATTTATTACAAAAACATTTTAGTCTTTACTTTTAGTCAAAGAAATATTTTTTCTTCTTGAATTCAATTAATCAATCAAATGGTATCAAGATTGCACTCGTATTTAAGCCTGAGGAGTTTCACTCTTTTAACATTTTAATTTGTGTAATACCTGGATTCCTAGCCTCAGCTGGATTGTAAAGTTTAGGCTCTCCCACTATGCTATACTGCTGTGCTATCTCTGCCGATCTACTGAGGTAAAATGGAGAGATAATCCTTACTACAAGTCTAATATTATTTCTGTGGCCACAATGGTAATAATTATTTTCTTTGACTTATTTTTATTTTTATTTTACCTTAAGCTTGAAAAACACCCCTGGACCGGTGCTGGACAGACACTCAGTTCACTGCTTTCTCAGCCCTTATAAATCTTTAATGATTTATAAAGAATTATTGCTACAAAAGGTCTCAGTAAATATACTCTCTCATGTACCTTCATACAAGGATAAAGCGAAGTTTGTACACAGAGCTGTAAACGGTAGCAGTGGAAAAAAATGTCATAAAACATAAAACTGACTATAGAGCTGGTTGTGGCCTGATCTACAATAGGTGCAGCCAGAAAAGTTTATAAGGATGAGGAATGAGCATGGAGGTAGAGAGGATTGGGGTACATTTGTTGCAAAGAAGTGATAAAATACACTGCTCTTCTCAACTAACTCAACTACCTCCTCTGCAGTGAGGAAAGTAAGAAGGATCTTAAATGTCGAATGAGCCACCTAAAACAGTTTTGCAGAAGCTACTTTAGCCTGAGTTTGTGTTACTTAAGTCTTATTTTAGCTCGCCACTTTCTTGTTTCATCATGATCGGCCTTCAGGATCAGCACTTTGTCACCAATACCAATCTAACTTTTTGGGTCAGCATCTGGCTGATAAGTGATACCAGGATTGGATTGGTGCAGCCCTAAATGAATTATACATTCAGTGATATTTAGTTCCCCATCTATTTGGGGTTTGCTTTGCCTCTAATGATGGGCTGTCTTGTATATGACCTTTGTCTTTTATTGTAAAAGATTCAAGGAATTTATTGTCCTGATCTGTTACAGTCCTGCACAAATACTTTGGACCTTGACAATAAACTGATCGGCTAACATTTAACAGCAATAAAAGTACTTTGGACCAGCATTGCGGTAGAACAGAATATAAAACAACAACAAGAATACCTTTAGTTCAATTCATGTTTGAAAAACAACCTTTGGTAAACGTCCGTTGTTTTATTGTGGCTGGTCATGTTCTTAGAGTTTACAGGTTAACAGGTTGACTTCAAGTTTTAATATCCAGACTTGTCCTCTTCTAAACTCCTCTGTGTCTGAAAAATCAGTAATGATGGCTGTGAGCTCAGATAAGTAAATCCTGACAGAAATTTTGAGGGTCTGTAAGAGTTTGAAATAATGTGTTTGATCAGTATTCACAGCATTAGTTTGGATTCCTCCCCATCATCCTTGTCTGGCTCAGTGTAAAGAAAATCTAAATAATCGCCTTTGCAACAATTCCATTACAGCTGTGACTGTCTTTTTCAATAAAAAACTTAGAAAACAATACACCTGAAACATAATGCAGTTTCTGTAAATCCAACTGGCGTAACTGTTTTTGATGTCAGTGTCATATGACTGACTTCAGGTCTCTGATGAAAGAGAATTGGTGTTTCGTTGATCTGCTGTATGGTGTTTGTATATTCTTGCATTTTGAAAACTAGTGTAGGTGTTTAGTTTACAGCGTGAGTTTTGAGGATTGTAAAACGCTGTAATAAGCAAATAACACTTCTGATAAATGACAAACTTTGGAAAAAAACAGGAATACTGAATTAACACTCACCCTGTTCCAAGTGTCCTTGTTTCTCTCTGTGCTGACTCACAATGGAGTCTGAGCTTTGAACACTTTCAGTTTTATTGTTTTATTGTCAGGCTACACCTTCCCTTGATATTTACAGGAAATGAAGTGTTTGTCTTTGAGAGTGAAGAAAAACGTCCGCTGATCACCAAATCACACAAACATTCATGAACTACTTACTGTAACCCTGCTGCAGTGCCCTTTATTATTAGATCATATACTGAAGATACCAGATTTATTGCATTCAACAATAAAGGTATCATTGACAATTACATGAGACATGCAGAAATGCATTGATTTTTGTGATTCTTCTTGTTTTTTTTGTATGGTTTCATGATTAAATAAATCATGTGTTATTCACAAATGAATAACAAATAACCCTGACAATCACGGCTTTTTTGTGCATCTTGATGTTGTCCTGCATCCAGTTTTCGAAATGTACATTTTCATTTCAACCCCTTACAACTTTTCCAACTACATGAGCAAATGTAAAATAATTCACTGTGCTGCACTTTACCAAAAGAGTTTTTCACAGCAGCTCTGACCATGTTACCCACAGCAGCATGGCTAATGTTTTAAAAATTGTAGGGGGCACTCTGGAGCTATTTTTGTTTGGATTTCCATTTAGACATTGGAGCCCTTTTTGTTCGTTCTGGGGTCCAATATAAATGTCATTGGTTCCATAGATTTGGGAGGTGGGAGTCAAAGCTCCTTCTGATGGGAGACTCTGCCAGATGTTCCCAGCAGACCCTCACATCACCACAACCAAGTGGTGATCACTTGACAGCTCCGCCCCTCTCTTCACCCGACTCTCCAAGACGTATGGCCGCAAGTCAGACGACATGACCACAAAGTCGATCATCAAAATGCGCTCAAGGGTGTCCTGGTGCCAAGTGCACATGTGGACACCCTTATGTCTGAACATGGTGTTCGTTATGGACAGTCTGTGACAAGCACAGAAATCAAATAACAAAGCACCACTTGGTCTCAGTTTTCCAACATGGGTGTTGAAGTCCCCCAGCAGAACTAGGGAGTCCCCTGAAGGAGCAATATCTAGCACCACAAGGATGTTTATGTTTAAAAAAAGGGTTGTGTCCTTAATGATAGTATCTTATAACATCCCCATTATGAACCTCAAAATTCATATGTTTAAATCAGTTGACGGATAAACTTAAACCCCAGGGAAAAAGACTTAAACAATTTCAAACAAATGTGTTATCAAACCTTTTGTCTGTAACATAGTTGACAAAATAATAAATCAAATATTTTTTTTCATTCAATATTTTAAAAGTCATTTAAAATTCAATTAATTGATTTAGCAAATTAAGTATGTTTATCATAGAAACATCTAGAATCTTTGTGTGGGGGGCTGGGATAGGTAAAAGAGTGTTTGGCAGCAAAGTTGCATACGTGGAGGTATCTGAAAAATGTCATTTGGGGATATTGTTCTCTTTGGATGGAAATTTAAAATATATGTATGAATTTTCATCAAATAGTCCTGGCAGAAAATTAGGCTGTGTTGGTGCTAACCTGCAAAGCTCATATCCATTTGAGGATATGATTAAAAGGGAGATGAGCTATTCATCTGGTTAAAATGGAAGTGTCTCCTAAATCATATCCATATTTTAAATTGCCCCTGGGGGACGAATTAAGGGATTTGAATTTAATTTGAATTGAATTAAAGATTTTCATAGAGTTTTACACAATAGGATCAGAAAGGATCCAGGGGTCCGTTTCACGTAGGTGGTTCAACAAACTCTGAGTCAAATCCTTAACTCTGAGTTGATCTACTCTGAGATAGGAAACTCTGAGTTTCCGGTTTCACAACACCTGATTTGAGTCAGTTTTAGCAACTCCGAGTAGTTTGACCTGGAGTTAAGCACGTGCACGCCAGACATAAACAGCCAGCCTGGGGGGTTTGCGATCGGACCGGGGGGGGGGGGGGGGGGGGGGTGGCAGCTACTCTGCCTCCGTTAAAGGTGGGGCTGCTGGGCCACCACCCGTTTTTGTGTTAGTTTAATATTCCTAATCATTTAACGGAACATCATAAGAGAGTAAAATTCATTTTTGAGTGTGAAAAGAGCATTTTTTAAGGGATCAAACTGCCACTTAATACTTGACAATGTAAAACAGGATCAAAGTGAGAAAATGCCGATGTCTCACCTGAAACTCTGGGTTTACTGAGTAAAACCTGGTCCCGACCGGGGGCCTGTTCTACGAAGCAAGTTCAACCTAGCGAGGTAGCCTTGGAGCTACCTCGCTCAACTTAGCGCGGTGGCCATCAGTCTCGCTACACGGTTTTACGACGCTGGTTATCAACCTCGTAAGTTGATCCAGCTTTGCTATGAGCGCGTGCACGCATGTAAGGCGGAGCCCGCCGCATCTGACCAATCGTGAAAATGGACCAGTCTGGAGCGTCAGAGCAGGCAGGAGAGCGAAGGACCGCAGACTTTACAAACGAGGAGTGTCGTGGAAGTTTTTTCTCCTTCCGTCGCTGCTGGTGAATAATGAAATAGAGACTTCTACCGGCCGACAAGGTTTTATTTTCTTTGCAAAGAAAAGGTCGATCTGGATCCGAGCGGGTAGAATCAGAAAAGACCCTGAATCAGGGGAATACAGAATATTTTATACTTTAGGACCGCCTCTCAGAGGGCAAGGAATGGGGCTTAGGTGTTGGCACCTTTTGTTGCCTGTGGGGACTGTCACTCCACCCCCCTGGGGTGGTGGTGACACCTGGAGCATCCTGCAGGATGTTGTCTGTTGATGTCTAGACATGCTGATTAATTGATATGTTGATTGGAAAGTCTGTTGTGAGGGGCACCTCAAGCAATTCTTAACAAAGACATTAAAATTACAATTACAATTCTCCCTTTTGATTATTAATTAATCACTAACAAAAAACAAACTTAAAAGTTAAAATAAAGTAAAATAGAAAAAAAGGAAAAGAGAGAGAAAAAAAAACATATTACAACTCAATTATCTGGCACATTAATTCACATAGATTTAAAATGTATTTTCATGGCAGTTGTTAGGAGAAGAAGAGGGAGAAGAAGAGGAGCAAAAAGATCCATCCTCCCTCAGTTGGTATGATGTCGAGAGTGAGTCTGTGTTGGATAACTGCTGTTCTAGTTGCAAACATTTCAGTGTTCATTAAGGTGGTAGCAGCTTCAGTTCTGTCTGCTAAGGAAAGAACAAACTAGGCTAGTCCATTGATTTTGTTTAGGGCTGCAGTCGTTCCACCTCCTAGAAATAGAGACCATCCAACATTGGCGTTGGGAGCAGTCTAGGGGTCAGGTGATGCACGGTGCAGTCAGGTAGGCTAATCAGCGTCGGATGAATTCACGGAGTTAATTTCTCGTCGTCCTCCTTTGCGTCTGTTCATCTGTACGTCGTTCGTCCACACGTCGGTCGTCCTCTGGTTGTCGGGGTTGGTGGTTTGGATCATCTGTTGGCTCCGGGACCTTCCTGCAGTGGCTGGCATGAACCCACGTTGTTCTCTCAGCGATCTTCACAGCGGTATGTGTTGTCAGAAGCACCTGGAATGGACCTCATCACCGTTTGGAGTGCCAGTGCTTCCTTCTGAGGTCCTTTATCATCAACCAGTCGTCAGGCTGGAAGTCGTGGAGGGATGTGGAAGCTGGTGGTGGAAGGGCTGATTTCACCTGCTGGGAGATTTGAGAGAGAGTGCAGAATAAGTTCTTGCAATATTGTAGCATGTCATCCTCACATAGGCCAGTGGAGGGGAGTGGCCTGGTTACAGGCTCCACTCCAAGGGACAGAGGTCTGCCAAAAAATATTTTTACAGGGACTCATGTTTACTCTGGATCTTTTCTTGATTATCATATCCATTAGAACAATCGGCAGAGCTTTTTGTCCATGGCAGTCCCGTTTCGTCACAGCATTTGGCCAATTTTGATCTCAGAGAGCCATTCTCTCATTTGACAGCACCCCCACTGGCAGGGTGATATGTGCAATGTTGTCTGAGGTCAATGGCAAGAAATTCACTGATTTGGGTTATTGCAGAATTTGCAGAAAAATGAGAGCCATTATCGTTGTTCAGTTGGTATTTCCCATCTGGGAGTGATTTCTGTTCACAGAGCCTTTGCTACCACTAGGTGACAGCTCTATGAAGTCCATCATTAAGTGTTTGAATGGTCTGTCTGGTGGGTGGGCAGCGTGTGTGATTGTTTTGGTTTTACCTGCGTTTTGCGTTGCACAAACCATACACAATTGACAAAACTTCTGCGCATGAACTGAAGATCCTTTAGTGAACCAGTGTTGGGTTATGGCACCCAACATTCCCCCTTTTGACACATGGTCCAACCTATGTGTCAATTTTGCAGAATGAGGAAAGAAGTGTTTAGGTATGCAAGGTTTATTATCGGGTCCTCGTTATACTGCATCCTTTTGTGTGGCACCACAGCGTGTCCACAGCGCCTTTTCCTGAGGTGTGGCGAAAGATTGCATTGCTGTGTGTGAAAGGAATCAGTGAAAGGAATCGATACCAATAAAGGATCAGTGATAGGTGGCTGGAGTGCGATTTTGTTTTGCAGCGGCATCAGCTCTAGCATTTCCTAGAGAGACAGGGTTTGAGTTGTTAGGGTGAGCAAGACATTTACAAACAGCAGTTGATTCCAGGAGCAAAAGTTAGCAACAACAGCAAAGCCGCCTGTGTTGCGACCAGTTTGTGGGTTGCGTGAGGCAGATCCATCTACAAAAAGAACCAAATAAGGATTTGTTAAATGTGTTTCTTGTAGGTCTGGTTTTGGGGAGCAAACCTGTTGGAGGATAGCAAAACAGTTAGTTCTCCATCGTCTGGTGTGGGGAGAAGAGTGGAAGGGTTTAAAACATTGCATCTTTTGACAGTGATGTTAGACATTTCTAGAAGGATTGTGTTGTATCGTAGCCATCGTGCTGTAAAGAAATTAGAAGTTTTTTGTTCAAGTAAAATCAAAGACACAGCATGTGTCAGTAACATCAGAATAGCACACAATATCTTGGGAGACCATAACTGCCTTCTCAGCCGCAGCCACGGCTTTAAGGCATCTTGGGAGGCCTGCAGCTACAGGATCCAGTTTTAAGGTAAAATAAGCTACAGGGTGTGGCTTGTTCCTGATAGCCTGCAACAAAACAGAAGTCATGCATTCATGTTTTTCATTCATTGTTTGAGTTAACGGTCTGATGAATATTTGGAGCTCTGGGTTGGACTGCTGCATTTACTGCTTGCAGATCCTGAACAAAACGGCATTCTGTATGTTGATCTTTGTCTCTGATTTTCTTAACAGAGAACAAAGGCGTGTGCACTGGAGAGTCGTTACAGGGAACAATTACTCCTGCTGCTCTCAGGGAGTCAAAAAACCTGGTGTTATGCCATCAGTGGCTTCTTGTTATATGGATATCAAGTCTTGCAAAGTCTGAAATCTGATTTTTGGAGTAATGCTAACAGGTCTAAATGTTTGATGAGGCCAACATCATACTTATCAAAAGCCCACAGTGTCTTAGGGACTTGTTGCAGGGCTGTGATAGGTTCAGTTTATTCTATGGACAAACAAGAAAAAGGTTATAGAAGTGCTTTCAGGTACCAGCTGGATTATTCTCTGAGTGTGCACAACAGATGTTAGACGTTTTGAGTAGCACTGCAGTGTCTGTAAAAACAAACAAACAAACAAACAAGAAACAAACAAACAAACAACAAACAAACAACTAGGGCCCCGTTGGGGCACTGGCGGGCCCGAGCCGTGTCGCGCCGCCCCCAGCGCGACCGCCTAGCCCTCCCGATCGCGTCACACTCAAGGTCCAAAGATGATGTGCGCACTTGTCTGTGGTCATTTACCATTATAATGAATTGGAGGTGCAGTTTCTACCAAAACGCTCGCTGCAGACAAACTCCATGTCCTATTTGAAAAAAGTCTGGACCATGAGTGAGGGCACAAACACAGCTAGTATATATCCAAATGGCAAGTTGCTCCTCCTTTCGGTTTTGCCGAGAGAGCGATGCGTTTGAGCCATTGAGCGATGGGGAGGAAAAACTTGACGTTTTCTCCTGCCATGGGGGGGGCGCTCTTTTGGGGGGTAAAAATTCCTTCACAAATGTGTTGATGGATGGACATTGCATCATCCTAGAAAACTTGGAGGCCAGTGAGGACAAAAATAAAAAGTTATAAGACTTTTAAAAATGTGGATTTTTGGGTCCTCTTTGGCGCCCCCTTGAACATAAACCGTGGAGTGCAGCGTCATGATTTGTACAACTTTGAATGGCCATGGGATGTAGATTGGCCTGAGCAAATTTGGTGCCGGTGGAACGAAAGCCTTCGGAGGAGTTAGCCACATTCCAATGTGTGCGGATCGGCAAAAAATGCAAAATAGCCCTTTAACCATACATTTGACAGATACGCCCGCACTGACTTTTTTGTAGATCTTATTGAGATACACGTGTGTGTCAATTTTTGTGTCAATATGACAAAGCGTAAAGGCGTGACAGTCAACAATGTGTGTTTTCACCTTAGGGGACAAGAAAAAATTGAATTTTTCTCCTACCATGGGGGGGCGCTCTTTTGGGGAGTAAAAATTCCTTCACAAATGTGTTGATGGATGGACATTGCATCATCCTAGAAAACTTGGAGGCCAGTGAGGACAAAAATAAAAAGTTATAAGACTTTTAAGAATGTGGATTTTTGGGTTATCTTTGGTGCCCCCTAGAACCTAAACCGTGGGATGCAGCGTCATGATTTGTATGATTTTTAATGGCCATGGGATGTAGATTGGCCTGAGCAAATTTGGTGCCGGTGGAGCGAAAGCCTTCGGAGGAGTTAGCGAAATTCCAATGTGTGCGGATTGGCAAAAAATGCAAAAGAGCCCTTTAATCGTACATTTGACAGATACGCCCGCACTGACTTTTTTGTAGATCTTATTGAGATACACGTGTGTGTCAATTTTTGTGTCAATATGACAAAGCGTAAAGGCGTGACAGTCAACAATGTGTGTTTTCACCTTAGGGGGCGCTATGGAGCCATTTCGCATTTTATTGTTTGGGCGACTTCAGATTATCATATTTTTCACCAGGCCCGGTCTTCCTGCCAAATTTCATGAGTTTTCAACTGTGGGAAGTGGGCCATTTTCCCCTTCAAAGGGGAGGAAAAATAAAAAAGAACTAGGGCCCCGGTGGGGCACTGGCGGGCCCGAGCCGTGTCGCGCCGCCCCGAGCGCGACCGCTTAGCCCTCCCGATCGCGTCACACTCAAGGTCCAAAGATGGTGTGCGCACTTGTCTGTGGTCATTTACCATTATAATGAATGGGAGGCGCAGTTTCTACCAAATTGCTCGCTGCAGACAAACTCCATGTCCTTTTTGAAAAAAGTCTGGACCATGAGTGAGGGCACAAACACAGCTAGTATATATCCAAATGGCAAGTTGCTCCTCCTTTCGGTTTTGCTGAGAGAGCGATGCGTTTGAGCCATTGAGCGATGGGCAGGAAAAACTTGACTTTTTCTCCTGCCATGGGGGGGCGCTCTTTTGGGGAGAAAAAATTCCTTCACAAATGTGTTGATGGCTGGACATTGCATCATCCTAGAAAACTTGGAGGCCAGTGAGGACAAATATAAAAAGTTATAAGACTTTTAAAAATGTGGATATTTGGGTCCTCTTTGGCGCCCCCTAGAACGTAGACCGTGGGGTGCAGTGTCATGATTTTTACAACTTTGAATGGCCATGGGGTGTAGATTGGTCTGAGCAAATTTGGTGTCAGTGGGACGAAAGCCTTAGGAGGAGTTAGCCACATTCCAATGTGTGCGAATCGGCAAAAAATGCAAAATAGCCCTTTAACCGTACATTTTACAGATACTCGCGCATTGACTTTTTCGTAGATCTTATTGAGATACACGTGATTGTCAAATTTTGTTTCAATTTGACAAAGCGTACAGGCGTGACATTCAACAATGTGTATTTTCACCTTAGGGGACAAGAAAAAATGGCCTATTTTCTCCTGCCATGGGGGGGTGCTCTTTTGGGGAGTAAAAATTCCTTCACAAATGTATTGATGGCTGGACATTGCATCATCCTAGAGAACTTGGAGGCCAGTGAGGACAAAATGGAATTTCGCTAACTCCTCCGAAGGCTTTCGTTCCACCGGCACCACATTTGCTCAGGCCAATCTACACCCCATTGCCATTAAAAGTTGTACAAATCATGACGCTGCACCCCACGGTTTACGTTCTAGGGGGCGCCAAAGATAACCCAAAAATCCACATTCTTAAAAGTCTTATAACTTTTTATTTTTGTCCTCACTGGCCTCCAAGTTCTCTAGGATGATGCAATGTCCAGCCATCAACACATTTGTGAAGGAATTTTTACTCGCCAAAAGAGCGCCATGGCAGGAGAAAAAAGTCCATTTTTTCTTGTCTCCTAAGGCGAAAATTCACACTATTGACTGTCACGCCTTTACGCTTTGTCAAAATGACACAAAATTTGACACACACATGTATCTCAATAAGATCTACGAAAAAGTCAATGCGAGCGTATCTGTTCAATGTACGGTTAAAGGGCTATTTCGCATTTTTTGCCGATTCGCACACATTGGAATGTGGCTAACTCCTCCTAAATCTTTTGTCCCATCGGCTTCAAATTTGCTCAGGTCAATCTACACCCCATGGCCATTCAAAGTTGTACAAATCATGACGCTGCACCCCACAGTTTACGTTCTAGGGGGCGCCAAAGAGGACCCAAATATCCACATTTTTAAAAGTCTTATAACTTTTTATTTTTGTCCTCACTGGCCTCCAAGTTTTCTAGGGTGATGCAATGTCCAGCCATCAACACATTTGTGAAGGAATTTTTTCTCCCCAAAAGAGCGCCCCCCCATGGCAGGAGAAAAAGTCAAGTTTTTCCTGCCCATCGCTCAATGGCTCAAACGCATCGCTCTCTCGGCAAAACCGAAAGGAGGAGCAACTTGCCATTTGGATATATACTAGCTGTGTTTATGCCCTCACTCATGGTCCAGACTTTTTTCAAAAAGGACACGTAGTTTTTCTGCAGCGAGCGTTTTGGTAGAGACTGTGCCTCCCATTCATTATAATGGGAAATGACCAAAGACAGTTTCGCACACCATCTTTGGACCCTGACTGTGACGTCACAGTTTGAGATACAAATGTAATTTGACCTCTGACCTTTAGTGGAGACCCGAACCTTTCAACGCGCAAAAGCGTTGGACACACACTGGCGGGAAGAACCACAAACGCCGATGAAGGATAAGGGTCTTTGTAGTGATGGGCGTTACCAGAGAGGGCGATGGCCAGAGGAAGAGAATGGGACGGGGAGGCGATCGCGTTGGGGAGGGGGCGCGACACGGCTCGGGCCCGCCAGTGCCCCAACGGGGCCCTAGTTGACTTTTTTCTCCTGCCATGAGGGGGGCGCTCTTTTGGGGAGTAAAAATTCCTTCACAAATGTGTTGATGGATGGACATTGCATCATCCTAGAAAACTTGGAGGCCAGTGAGGACAAAAATAAAAAGTTATAAGTGATAAAATGTGGATTTTTGGGTTATCTTTGGCGCCCCCTAGAACCTAAACCGTGGGGTGCAGCGTCATGACTTGTACAATTTTTAATGGCCATGGGATGTAGATTGGCCTGAGCAAATTTGGTGCCGGTGGAACGAAAGCCTTCGGAGGAGTTAGCGAAATTCCAATTTGTGCGGATCGGCAAAAAATGCAAAATAGCCCTTTAACCGTACATTTGACAGATACGTGCGCATTGACTTTTTCGTAGATCTTATTGAGATACACGTGATTGTCAAATTTTGTGTCAATATGACAAAGCGTACAGGCGTGACAGTCAACAATGTGTATTTTCACCTTAGGGGACAAGAAAAAATTGACTTTTTTCTCCTGCCATGGGGGGGCGCTCTTTTGGGGAGTAAAAATTCCTTCACAAATGTGTTGATGGATGGACATTGCATCATCCTAGAAAACTTGGAGGCCAGTGAGGACAAAAATAAAAAGTTATAAGACTTTTAAAAATGTGGATTTTTGGGTTATCTTTGGCGCCCCCTAGAACCTAAACCGTGGGGTGCAGCGTCATGACTTGTACAATTTTTAATGGCCATGGGATGTAGATTGGCCTGAGCAAATTTGGTGCCGGTGGAACGAAAGCCTTCGGAGGAGTTAGCGAAATTCCAATTTGTGCGGATCGGCAAAAAATGCAAAATAGCCCTTTAACCGTACATTTGACAGATACGTGCGCATTGACTTTTTCGTAGATCTTATTGAGATACACGTGATTGTCAAATTTTGTGTCAATATGACAAAGCGTACAGGCGTGACAGTCAACAATGTGTATTTTCACCTTAGGGGACAAGAAAAAATTGACTTTTTTCTCCTGCCATGGGGGGGCGCTCTTTTGGGGAGTAAAAATTCCTTCACAAATGTGTTGATGGATGGACATTGCATCATCCTAGAAAACTTGGAGGCCAGTGAGGACAAAAATAAAAAGTTATAAGACTTTTAAGAATGTGGATTTTTGGGTTATTTTTGGCGCCCCCTAGAACCTGAACCGTGGGGTGCAGCATCATGATTTGTACAATTTTTAATGGCCATGGGGTGTAGATTGGCCTGAGCAAATTACGTGCCGGTGGAACGAAAGCCTTCGGAGGAGTTAGCGAAATTCCAATGTGTGCGGATCGGCAAAAAATGCGAAATAACCCTTTAACCGTACATTTGACAGATAGGCACGCACTGACTTTTTTGTAGATCTTATTGAGATACATGTGTGTGTCAATTTTGTCAATATGACAAAGCGTACAGGCGTGACAGTCAATAGTGTGAATTTTCACCTTAGGGGGCGCTATGGAGCCATTTTGCATTTTATTGTTTGGGTGACTTCAGAATATCGAATTTTTCACCAGGCCCGGTCGTCCTGCCAAATTTCATGAGTTATCGACGGTGGGAAGTGGGCCATTTTCCCCTTCAAAGGGGAGGAAAAATAAGAAAGAAAGAAACAAAGAAGAATCCATCAGGAATAATAGGGCTCTCGCAGCTGCTTAGCAGCTACGCTCGGGCCCTAAAGAAAGAAAGAAAGAAAGAAAGAAGAACCCATACAGGAATAATAGGGCTCTACGCCCGGCTGCTCTGCAGCTGGTTCGGGCCCTAAGAAAGAAGAAAGAAGACCGATACAGGAATAAGAGGGCTCTACGCCCGGCTGCTCTGCAGCTGGCTCGGGCCCTAATAAACGAACAAACAAAAAACAAAAGGGTGGATCGATCAGATGTTTAATGCCAATTGGCCGCGCGTTAACATGCTATTATAAATGGGCCCAAATCTTCCCAGTCATCTATGGGATCTATGGGACCGAATGGTCCATGGTGTACATGTTACTTTGAGCTGGTGTGAGGGAGACTAATATAGCACATTTGTGTCGTGCCCAATAAATATGTGTCAGTGTGAGTTCTTCAAATCTCATCTTTAACCAACATTCCTTGTATGGCTCATCAGGTCCGGGTGACACATGAGAGGTGCAATGCAGATCCTCTGGTGCCATAAAATCTTTGCAACTGTGGAAATTGTTTTCCTAGCTGAGAGAAACTCAGAAAACGTTGATGGTTTCAATTTCCATTGATATGCATAATTTAGGTTCAGGGTATGGTAGACAAAGGAGTGTGAAAAGTTTGGTGGCAGATCAGGTAGTCTGCAGACTTTGACTTCTGGGGTTGAGATTAGACAAAGGCTCAATTTGCATATCAAGTCCCTGCCCATCAGGTTAATAGGGCAGACTTCAGAGAGCAAAAATGCGTGTTTGAAGCTTGAACATGACCCACATTTGAATGGGACAATAATGTTCTCTTTAATTGTTTGACCTGATGAACCAATAGAGTATACATGACTTAGACTAAAACTAAATCGACTAAGAATACACTGTGTTGTTCTGTGATGATAAGCATGTGTTCTGGAAACTTCTTAAAGTGATCAGATGTGTACTGAACATATGTTAAAACAATCGCATGTGTATTGTCTGAGCTCTCTATGGATTGTGAATTGATGTGATTGGCATATGTGTGTGATGCAGTACCTTCTTCCCTCTTCACAAGTTGGTTCGGCTCGTCAGCAGGAGTCGATTCCTCTCAGACAACCCCCAACCAACGTCAGTCTGAATGTTTATTGCGTCTGATGAGGTGTTTTTGGGACAATTGCGTCTCCAATGTCCACTTTGGCCACACAGGAAACGGACATCCTTTCGAAGTTTTCTCTCCCAGTTTTTATAATGGCCACGTCCTTTTTCTCTATGGCCAGGGTAGCGATGTCCATGTTCTTGATGCTGTGGGGTTGAGCAGATGATGTGAAGCGGCTGTGATGTCCTCAGAGGAAGAAAAACCAAAGTTGCGCCTTGTGGTCCAGATACTTCAACCATAGGCATGTTGAAGGCTGTGTCTTTATTGGATTGCCATGGTCTGTGTGCAATTGGAGAAAGGCTGTTGGTTGTAGAGTCTTGTGATGGACCAGGCATTTCAGAACGAGCTGTTTTTGAGCTTGGCTGTAGTTGCAGCCTGATGGAGTCTGCTTCTCTTCTCTCGTTGGGTGTTGCAGAGTTGTATGGTGGTGGTGCTGAAGGATGGGAAGGGGGGTTGCCGTCAAGGTCTGAATCCAGCTTCAGAGCCGCCAACTGTGGAAACAAAGAAGAAGAGATCTGCAAGTTCTGTGTTCTTTGTTTATGTGAATCTGGCTTCTCAATCGTTTCAACCTTTTCGCATGAAAAGGGTAGTTGTTTTTGCATTAACTTTGTATTTCGTATCTCTGCTTCAGTTTTCCACATCTGTAAACATTCTTTTTGACCTTTAATGAGTTCTGATTTTCTTACAGACACTTCATTTTTTCTTCTAATTTTTTGTTCTTTTGCTTTCAGTTTTTCTTCTAGTTTTGATATGTTTTTTAAACTGAGAGATTCCCCTGTTGGGAATCCAAACTCAGTGGTCAAAACATTCATATCTTTTAAGCTTTTGTCCCAACATTTCTTTCTCATGATCTCAACAATTGGCCCTTCCGGAGGTCCCACCTCCTTGGAAAGCTTGCACCCCATCCAATGGGTTTGTTGCGACAAATTCCACACAGACGTCTCTGCGCTTCGTATCACTTTGTTCAAATGCTAAGTGGAAAACGCACCCCCTACCCCCACTTCGTTTTAAGAAAGGCTACAAGTGGGAAAAAGCATTACTTTCTTTAAAGATAACAGGTAATGTAAACAATTACTTGTCTGTTTAAAAAAAGAACATTACTTCGTTTTTTTCTCCAAGAAAGGCTACAAGCAATGAAAAAAGCATCCCTTGCTTCGTTTTTTTTTCCAAGAAAAGGCTACAAGCAGGAAAAGCATTACTTTCTGTAAGGACTACGAGCAATAAAAATTACTACAAGCAATAAAATTTATCACTTGTCGGCCCTAGAAAAAATAACATTACTTCGTTATGCTTCAAGTAATGAAAAAAGCCGCCAAGTATGGAGATCATGAGAAAAAATGTCATGCCTAATTAAAACCCAAATTTGAAAGAAAAGGAAAGTCAATATTTCAGTGCTCACCAGATGAATTTGCTGAATTTTGTTCGTGGAATCCCACCGGCAATGATCTGGGGCAGTTTTGGTCAGTCCTCCCTTCTCACAAGAGGATTTGAGGTATGGAGGCTGGAAATCTTTTGTTCTTCCAGGATGGCCTGTCACTGTCCATGCTCCAGCCCAGACGATTGCTCGAGGGATCCCACTTCTGACACCAAATTGTCGTGGAAGTTTTTTCTCCTTCCGTCGCTGCTAATGAATAATGAAATAGAGACTTCTGCCGGCCGACAAGGTTTTATTTTCTTTGCAAAGAAAAGGTCGATCTGGATCCGAGCGGGTAGAATCAGAAAAGACCCTGAATCAGGGGAATACAGAATATTTTTTACTTTAGGACCGCCTCTCAGAGGGCAAGGAATGGGGCTTAGGTGTTGGCACCTTTTGTTGCCTGTGGGGACTGTCACTCCACCCCCCTGGGGTGGTGGTGACACCTGGAGCATCCTGCAGGATGTTGTCTGTTGATGTCTAGACATGCTCATTAATTGATATGTTGATTGGAAAGTCTGTTGTGAGGGGCACCTCAAGCAATTCTTAACAAAGACATTAAAATTACAATTACAAGGAGCAGGAGACGATCATGAGAAAGTATGAAGAATTCAAATCTATCATAAACCTCAAAAGCAACACTGTCGCCGCTACAAAAGCACGGAAGGCACAAAATTAATCTTTGATGCCATTATCACCCTGAAATAGCACTGTTCAACATGCGCTTTTAACCAAGGTGACCAGACGTCCCCGATTTCCGGGGACAGTCCCCCAATTGGATGATCTGTCCCCGGCTAAAGCTGTCCCCGAAAATGTCCCCGATTTTAAGCGTTTCATGAATGAGAACAAAAATGTTGCATGTGGGCTAGAACAACGGCTATTACAGTGGGTAGAAAGCACAAATAAGCAGTCCTGAACAACTGTATTTACGGGGGTTATTACAAGGGGTGTGCGCTGCTACTAAATAGTACCGAGATGTTGTATGTGATCACGCAGCCCATGCCCATTCATTCATTTGTTCATTCCTATCGTGTTTACATTTTTTGTGTGATATGTAGGCCATATGAGCCTTTCATAAAGGTGGTCATCCGGAGAAGTAAGTGGGTCCGTGCGATCCCTGAAAACTCTCGCGAGCTGGAGTGCTCCTCGGACAATGCAAGCACCGAGGTCTATAGGATCCTCCAAGAACGGACAAGCCATTTTTCAAGAGAGCTCATTGGTCAGTGGGCGGGGTTTATATACTCCGTGAGTTCAATCTGGAACCTAACCTGCCCCGGAGCAGGTTAGCCGTTCAGCTTATGTTGTTGAAGTTACCTCGCTAAGCAGTAATCCTGCTTCGTAGAACAGATGAAGAAGACATGGAAGAAGTTGATGAAAATGATTTTGATTATTAGGTTGTGAACGTATAGAAGTCAAAAGTATGATCTGTATAATTGAGAATTGGAGAGATTCAGGCCTACACTATTCCCGAACGGCAAACGTAGGGATATACACCAAAACCACCTTTCTTGGTTTAACTCTGTCACAGAACAAAGCAAAGAACAAGCCAGGAACTGACATGTAGAGAAGGTGGCGAGGATCCAGGCAAAAATAAACATACAAAAAAGAAAAAAAAATCACCCTCCCCTATTGTTGCTACCTTGTCTGGGTGGGGAGGCTTGTGTGCCTCAGTGTCCCTGAAGACTTCACCAGCCAGGGTTATACCCCTGGTAGGTACAATAAAGCCGGGCAGTTTTCAGGTTAGAGGCCAGTCCAAAAGCAGCATTGCCATCACCCTTTTTCATTGTGATTTCACTGTGATAATAGTTGCACTGTGATAATAGTTCAGGGGAAAAGGAGTATTTTGGGCAAATTTTAATGAGTTTTGAGCTCATTTGCGTATTGTTGTCTGGCGAAATTAACATACTTTTCCAACTAGGATTTCATAAGACTTATGTTATGTTAGTCTAGACACCTTTTATAGAAATGATGTATGGTGAAAAGAAACCCTTTTCTATAGGTTTTTTTGGGGGGTTAAATTGTATGTTTTTATATATTGACCCATGTAATTTTCGACTAATGTTATAAAATAAAATGCATGATAGCACCCATTTAGCTACCACTGCTGCAATGCTATCACATATTTTCTTGTTATCTGAACTTGTTATCTTGTCACGTTAGTGTTTATTAGTGTGTAAAATATGCCACCATGATTGGAACCAATGTGGAAACAACACCACACAAACAGCCAGCTCGGTTACATGATTATGGAAGTATACCAAGCTGTATGATGCCCCAGAAGAGGTGGTGGGTGCAGCTGGCCCAGGTGTTACTGTTACTGGATTACTGTAGCTGGTGGGAGCCTGAAGAGACATTAGCAAAATGTTAGCAACATTGTCTTTCATGTATTTTTAATGTTTATATGTCTAGCAGGCAAAGGACAAAAAAAATCAGGAAAATGTAGAAACAAAGACAAAAACAAATTTTTATGCTTTTTTACAGTATGCGCTCTGGTACCTTATTCACATTAAATTAAATGTCTTTATCATAGTAGCTGCATCTGTCCTCCATCAACATTACTCTCTTTCTCTCTAGCCAAGCAGAGAATGGTTTTCTTTTGTGAGTAAAGGCCAGCAGGTAAGCCAAGGTGAGATGTCTGACTGAGGACAGAGGCAGATTTCCATTTGACCAACAATTTACAGAGTAATGTATTGGCCTGAGGTGTGACTCCGTTAGCTGTAACGCTAAATTATCTAATTTATGCTTTGCTGCTCTGAGCATCTTCACATAATTTTGAACTCACATTTACACACCTTGTTTTTCAGCTCATGAGTTCATCCCAAGTTTTATTGTTTGTAGAAACAAATACTTACTTACCGAGGTGGCCTGTGGTGGCCGTGTAGCAGTTGAAAAATTTTGTATAGCCGCCAGAACGGCTCTGCCAATATTTTCGGCTAACGCTGAATCACTGGACATTTTGTGTCACGTTGTCTGTACCGTGGTACTGTGGCACCATACCTACTGGCAGTGGCCCCCTCGTGGCTGGCTATAGTAGCTACATGTCATAAGTCCCGTACCCCTCACAAAAGTGACAGCTCAAAGTACCCTTCAAATAAAGTTTCTCCAAACATGTTTATTATTTTAGGTAGTTATTAACACGATAATCCATGTCCAAGAGTCCATTTCCCCGGAGGAGATGGGTTTTATTCATTATTTGACGCTATAAACACACATTGACATCCTCAAGCTTTTATTATGGTATTTCCGGTTACCGGCATTTGAATTTGCATATTAGCTAAATATTTAGTTTCACCCAAATCATTTAGATTCAACATTTAGATTTAGATTTAACATTTAGATTTAGATTTAAATTTAACATTTAGATTTAGGTTTAACATTTAGATATAAGATTTAGATTTAGCGTTTAGATTTAATATTTAGATTTAACATTTAACATTGAGGTGTAACATTTAATATTTAGATTTAACTTTTTAAAATATCTCTAAGTTGACAAGTATTGTTGTAAATGTGCAAAAAAGTGACCATCAAAAGTTCATACCAGTTTTTTAAATGTTGTTTGAAGCTAATTGTGGCAAAATGTTGCCGTTTTTTCAGTGTGAGCCGCTTTACAAACAGCGCCCCATACAGTAGATGTCTCTGCACTGTGCTTTTATGTCAGAACTCTGAATTACCAATTCAAACATTGTCAGATCCTCTGCTTAAATATATCTTTAATGTATTTTCATATTTAAAAAATATCAACTAAAAGAACAATATTAAATTTAACCCTGAGTGTCATATGACTTAATTCTTTCCTTGGCATTTAGAGCTTACTCCTGATGATCTTTTGCAACTGATTACTTGGTGTGGTGTGCAAGTTCTTTCAATATGTAGGACATGGGCAGCCAGAAGCACTTTCTTGTTGGAACACTTCAGAGAGTGAATGGAACAGATCTATTTCAGGAAGTGGGTTAGTGGTGAGGGTAAGAGGCTAGATTCAGAGAATACACACATATTTCACAAATTAGGGTATTTGGTATTGCACCATGTAGCTTGGCTCCAACCACTTCTCAGTGTGAATAGAACTGATTATAGGAATGTGAACAGACAGTGCACAAGACAAGACATGAGATTATGTCACAAGAAGAACCCAAGATTTAACCCTACTTGTCAGAAAACTTCAATGATGAAGTATGACTGAAGAAATACTTTCAAGCTGATAGTTTCTTTTTATTTTGAACGCTTTCCTCTGTATGTCTCTGCCTTAGTGACTCTTTGTGGTAATGAAGACTTATTACTTTGTCTCACCCATCTATTCTTAGTATGTATTCCTCACAATACTTCTGTACATTGTAGCTTAAATTGTAGCTTTAAATTACACAGTAATACACTGTAATCAATATATGAGGGTGCTAAATATTTATCAAATCAAAAACAGTCTCTTACATGATTATAGTGCCCTAAGAAGGGGTGAATGTTAGAACTTAAGTAAAGATGTGAAATGAAAAAGGGGTACACAAAAAAAAAAAAAAAAACTCTAGTTACATGACTTGACTTGAGGCAGACTTGGGTCGCATAATTTAATTTACTCATGAATATGCATACAATGATTTGCTCAGCCTTTTCAGTGACAGACTGCTTCTTCCCAAGTGCAGGACCAGCAGACTGAAAAACTCTTTCGTCCCTCATACCATCAGACTGTCTAACGCCTGGTTCACACAGGAAGCGCCGCGCGTAGAACGGAAGTGCCGCGTGCGCGCGCAGCACCGGCTCACGCTTGGCTGTTCACACATAAAGCGTTTTCTGCTGCGCTCTGACACGCCGGTCAGACATCGACTGAGCCCGGCAGTGCTCGGCCGTTTCCGTCTGCCCTCAGTTTTCCACATTTACGAGCGCTTTAAAAATGGGTTTATCAATATTTATTTACGTTTTAAATTATTATATAGGGGTAAACAATGAATAAATTGGGGAGTCTGTTGACTCCGTTGTATGTATAGCCTTGTTAGCTCGAGGCTATTGACTGTATCGTAATAAAGTCCCCCTCCTTTGTCTCAATAACATCACTGAATCTCTGCAGTTCTCCCTCCGTGTGTGTGTGTGTGTGTGTGTGTGTGTGTGTGTGTGTGTGTGTGTGTGTGTGTGTGTGTTCATCGGTAAAAAATAGACCGACAAGCAACACCGTAAATCCTTTTTTTCTAATTTATTGAAATTTATTTTATTTTGAAAATTGACCGGATTCTCTCGCATCTCCTGTACCGACTTCCTGTCTGGTCCGATCTGCTCTGTCCAGCTTTACATCGGCGCGCGCGGCTCGCGCCAAAAATAGAGAGAAGCGGAGCAGCCGCGCGGAAGCGCCGTGAACAGTCTCATAGGTTAACACGGGCGCCGATCCGAAACTCTGTGCGCGGCACTTCCGTTCCGCGCGCGGCGCTTCCTGTGTGAACCAGGCGTAACTCCTCTCTGGGGAGGAGGAGGG